AATGGTGGGAAATATTTCTAGGTAGTTTTAGAGCTTCTTTTACTGGGAAATGTTACTCAAGTTTTAATGGGATTGAAATTTTCTTTTGCAATGCAGTCACTACGAGATACTGTTGTTCGCTTTTTGAAAAAAAAAAGCTAGCTTAGGAATGCTGTCTTTTATTTAAAAATAAAATAAAATGAAGTGCAGCTGACAAAGTTCAGATAATTGGGCAGAGCAGCAGAGCTTAAACCAACAATGTATTCAGCATACTGACATGTGATATCTTTGGAAATCTCCATAGGGTCTTTTAGCTTACAGTGAGCCATTGCAGAATCCTGGACTGTTGTAGAATAAAGGCTTTGCTCTTTCAGGCATGCACCAATTTCTAATAACATAATTCTTTTTTCAGCTTCTCCTTTCCACCAGATCAATTAATATTCTACTTGGTAAACACAGAAGTTTTCACCACCTCAGTCGAGAATCCTGCAAGTAATGCCAGAACCCTATGCAAAAATTCAAATCCAGAAAAAATGCGATTTGTGGAGCATCAGTAGGGTCTGTCATTACTGCACACTGTTCTCATTAAGATATAATAAACCAATCACTGGTAGAAAGCCAATAAAACAAGGATGGGGAAAATGGGTGCTAAATGAGAGCCACTGGAATAGGTAGAACAAAAGACTAGCAGCTGTCCTCCTGCCACCCTGGGTACCTCTAGTAGCCCTGCTTCTCAGGGGTGTGCACAGCCTGTGATTAAAACATCTGCTATTCAAGTTTAAGGCTTAAAGTACTAACTGTAAAGTTTTAGAGACAATTTTGTGGCTAGGAAACTTACAGTCTTGCTGCTATGAGATTTGCCTCATTCCCAAAGTGAAAGGAAAAACTAGGGGCAGACATTGTTTCTGAACAACATGGTACTGAATAAAGTTTAAAAAAAATATTCTATTACTTTTTTATCTCCTAATGTGAACAGTTCTTTTTCTTGAATTTTCCTTGAATTGAGCTCAGTACAATATGTTTGATTCTCAAGAGAGACTGAATGTCAAACTTTACCAAGTGTTGATCTAAAATTACTGGTCAGCTGAACCAGCAGTGATGTTTAGCAAGTTATGCATTTTGCAGCAACCTGATGACATTACAAAAACCAGACTGATAGGACTTGGAAGAAGATTTCACTCTAACCTCAGCAGGAATATCCTGTAAAGCCTTTGAATTTTTGCTTAGTAAGTGAAACAAACTTGTAACTCCATCAAATCTGTATCTCACCTGACTGAACGGTCTCAAAAAAATCATCTTGATCAAGCTAAAACGTCAAGAAATTCAGTTAGCCTCCTGATGCAATAGGAGGCTCAAAGAGATGTCAGACCTAAATTGTGGAAAGAAGACAAGCTAAAGATAGAGACAATACATTTAAACAACCATAAGAGTAAGAGCTGTAATTAATATTTATTGCGTAGACGAACAAATATGCTAAAATAGAGACAAGAATCCAAGTTGAAAGGGCTTAGTAGCCCTGTGGTGGCCAGCTAACACACAATAGTGTTGTCTTCAGGAAACAAAAGGATTGTGTCATGTGTTCTGTGTCCCAGCTCCTGTGGCCATGTTTCAAAACATCCACTCCTTTCCTCTCTTTGCCAACAAAAAACAAAAAAAAAGCAAAAAACTCCCTCTACGTACCGAACTCTGTAGCCAGATCTTGACCCCACCATGACAAATGCAGCAAGCAAAGCTCTGCCAGTCCTGGAGAAGACACTTTTTCATAGCAGTGAAGGAAACCACTGGTGCATTGCTGTTCCTTTTGCTGGCTATGTTTTTCCCATGGCTGCAGTGCCATGATTTCTAAATCTGACCACTTAACAGCTGATATGCATTCATGTTGCATGAAATGTGGTGGGGAGGTTAAATATAAAACAGGATGTAAAAATTTAATATACATAAATAATGAAATGAGAGGCAGAATATCAACTAAATTGCAGTAAATGTCTGCAATTTATGATAAATGTCAAGAGTTTAATGCAGAAAGAAAATATGTATTGCTGAATAAAAAGAGCAAAGCACATGATTAGCATCTCAAAAATCTTGAAAAATAACTTTAAATACTATGAATTATGTGCTATGAGCAACCAATGAAAGCATAGCAGAAGATGTACTAAAGAAATGTATTGTAAGAAAATGCTTTCTTGCAGCAGTGGCAACAAATCTGAGACATTTCTTTGAGACGCTCCCCTATTTGGTTAAATAAGGATAAATTCACAGAAATGCAATGTAGTGATCAGTACACTTACATGAAGCTGGAGTTCATGGTGATCTGGAAAAGGCAATGGTCAGGTGAGGCAGAGATCAGACAGACCTCCTAGTTCAGAGCTGGGACAGAGGAAGTGCCAGCAGAAATTCAGAAGTCACTGACTGTTCAGATACTGGCAGCCACACAGACCTGTGCCTGGAAATGCTGTCACATAGGACACTAACACATCCTGCAATGTTTTGTTCTACTGTTTCTTCAAGGAGGGATCTTATTCTGTACAGGCACAGAAGTTTAGTGTATGGAACCAACTACAGGGCAAGTGCTAGACATTGCTTCTAGGAAGCCATTTCATTATGAATAATTTAACATTATTTGAGGGTTTTTTCCATCCTCAAAATTCACCATAAAAATAAATAGTAGAAGGGAAGGGAAGGGAAGGGAAGGGAAGGGAAGGGAAGGGAAGGGAAGGGAAGGGAAGGGAAGGGAAGGGAAGGGAAGGGAAGGGAAGGGAAGGGAAGGGAAGGGAAGGGAAGGGAAGGGAAGGGAAGGGAAGGGAAGGGAAGGGAAGGGAAGGGAAGAAAGAAGAGAAGAAAAAAGAAAAGAAAAGAAAAGAAAAGAAAAGAAAAGAAAAGAAAAGAAAAGAAAAGAAAAGAAAAGAAAAGAAAAGAAAAGAAAAGAAAAGAAAAGAAAAGAAAAGAAAAGAAAAGAAAAGAAAAGAAAAGAAAAGAAAGAGGTAAAGTTGCTGTACATTTAAAGGCATCTGAGCTTCTCTTTGCAGTGCAAGTGCAAGCAAAGTATGAGCAAAGTCAGTGGCACTGACCTTCCTATTGTTGAAAGGAAAGCAAGAAATTCTTGACAGTTTCCAGGGCAAAACAAGGGAGACCTTGCAAACATGTCTCTGTGGGGGCTCTAAACAATAGCAAAGGTTCTTTCCCAGGGTTGAATTTCTCTATTCCTTTGGCACACTTTCACAAAAGGGTTGGGTCCTTCGAGGTTATCTGCAATGTGCTTACGCTCGGAGCATTAACATGCCTGTTAGCTCTGTACCTTCAGCATGCTTTTACTGTCATTAAAGAGTGATTATATTGCAGAAAAACATATATCTTGGAGATGAGACACTGGACTGAAGAAAAGCAAGCCTCCAGGCTCTTTTCATGGCTCTTCAGGCAAGCAATATGCATCACATTTCTATTAACCATATATGTTTAGTTCATAAGCTCTTTGAACAGAGATTCTTTCTTTCCTTGTGTATGTAGGTATAGAATAACAGCCTTTTAGAGAAGTGGCCTGGGCCAGAATGTCTTTTAACCACTAACTGTACACTAAGAAATTTAGAAACTATGCAAAAAAAACAATTTTGCAGGCCTTTCTATTAATAAAAATATTTAAAACTTCATTCAACAATTTTCCTTTTTTATTTCTTGAGAGTACTGAAGAGTTTGAAGTGTACTGATCTTTGGCTGTGCTGACTCTCAGTTTCCCAAACACAAATGCATATTTCTTTGACCATATGCTATTGATTTCCAGCCATGTGAGGCACAACATTTCTTTGCAGTATTGACCCTGTTGGGATGAAATTGCCATCAGCAAGCAGGTTGTGAGAACAAGAGCACGTGTGGTGAGACTTTGCTGTCCACAGCTGCAGAGGCTGCTGGGTTTGGATACAGCTGTAGAGCACAGGGGTATTTTTAATTACCTCAAAGAATTAAAGCAGAGACTGCATTCAGCATCACATTAAGGATGCAAAAGCTTCATTGTGGTGCAAGAATTCATGGAGGTGAATGACCTGATCTAAACCAAACCGAATTATTCCTGCCTGTTCCAGTTAGCTTCTCCCAGGGGCACAGCTGCATAACAATATTGCCAGCGTGGTATGGGAAGTTTGTATTTCTGAAAAAAATTAGGATTAGCATTATGCAAGTCGGTGGAGTGAATCATCCTCGCTGCATGGAGAGAAAGTATTTGAAATAATTTATACCATTTTAAAACACCATTTTCCTTATTTACTAAATACAAGCCTGCTCATCCCTTTGGTATGTGTACCAGCTGTGTTTCTGTTTACTGCTGCCCACTTCTTTCAGAACTTCTGCTCTACCTAAAACTTTACTAATAGGCAGGCCAAATATGCTGCTTTAACTGGTTTTGTGAATCCCGGGCTCTGCCCTGAAATCATTGTCCGTATCCACTAATGACACCACTCAGCAGAAAGTGCAATTACTCAGCTGTTCTGTTGAATAATAATGAAGCAAGTAGGCAAAAGTAGTGAAAAATGTTTGTGCTGGGCTAAACTCTACTCAGCTACACAAGCTCATCCATATTTGAAATACACAGGACTAGCTTTTTGTTGCAGCAGTTTATCCCCTACGCAATAGTAATGAGGAAAAGAACAAAGTGTATCAGCACTAGAAATACTTTAATAGGACTAGGATTAAATTTAATTGCCTCATTATAAAAGATCAGTTTATCAAATCCACTGTCTTAGTCCCAATTAAAACTCAGTCAGCATGCCTGTGGCTCTTCAAAATAGCAAGAGAGCATTTTTCACATGTTAAGGCAGGCAAAATTTCTATTTTGACTGGGATAAAACATTTATGAGATGTGCTGTCCATTGGCCACTTCTTCCAACCCCACCTAAGAACACTTGTGGCTGTTGGAGAGTGACTCTTTATAGGAAAGTAAACAGCCCCAGACATAATACTTCTTCTCTAAGTGTAAGAACCTTCTTTGCCTAGTTCTCAAGGGGTGAAAGTGCAGATTTAATCAGTCTTTACACTTTTATATTTTTTAAATTATTTAACTTTTATTACTGTTGCACCATTTATACAATTACATATAATTTCAATGCATCCATTGTACATTTTGTTTTTTCATTTGTTTTCCAATGAGTGTGTGTTGGTGTCTGTGACACAGAATGGAAGAGAAACTGGAACTGCAATGAACGCAGACTTTTTCATTTCCACTGACCAATAAACAGAACTACAGGTGCACCCAACCACGGACATGCATTAACTCGTCATGAGAAATCTAGGTAGGCTAAGTAGGATGAGAATGCTTTTTACTCCCAAAAAATATTTGGAGAGGAAGAATTGGAGGATTGGCATTGAGAAATATGTGGACAGCTAAGTGGGTTTTGTCTGAAAGTTGGCATTCATCCACTGCATAAAAAAAATATCAAAATAAGAAAGGCTGTAAATAAAAAAAAAAACACAGAAAATACTGCTTTCATAAAGATCTGATTGCCTTGGCACAAACCTAGTGGGCAGAATCAAACGCATCACTCCCAAACCCCATTACAGAACAAAAAGAAGATTTTGATACACTGGTGGAGTGCATTTACAGCAGTTCAGATACAAAAGATGTGCTGTACTTTCAGACATCCATTTATTTATTTATTTATTTTAATCCAGGACTTGTGTCAAGTTGGCAGAAAGTATATTAGATATTTCCCCACAAAAATACTATTTGGATTCTCCCCCCTCCCTCCCTCCCAACTTGATGGGACATCCTTTTCACTTTTTCTCTTTTGTTTTTTTTTTTCTCCTTCTTTTCTGGGCAATACATATTTGCTATTTCAGATCTGAAACGAGTTAGTATAGCTGAAAAAATAAAAAAAAGACACAGGTTGTTTTAAGTGGTTGTTTCAACAGGCTGTCCAATTTAATCTTGCACTGCTATGGTTTGATCCGAATTAGTGGCTGGAACTTCAGAAGGTTTCGCTTCCTCTGGAGGGGCTGCAGGGTCCGAGGCCTTAGCAGTGGAACTAGGTGCTGCTGTTGCCGCGGGCTCCTTGGAAGAGGGCGCAGCCTCGTTGCTGCTAGGTTTTGAGTCTGAAGCTGGGGCCACTTCACTTTTAGTTTCTTGGGCTGCAGGCGTTGCGGGAGCCTCAGTCTTTTTGGCTTCCCCTTCCTCTTTGCTCTTGTCATCTGCTTTACTGGGAGCTGTGGCTTCTGAAGGCTGGGAAGCTTTTGCATCGGTGCTAGGCTCAGAGGGTTTGGGCGCTTCGCTACTGGCAGCAGGAGCAGAGGCAGCAGTCGGCTCCTCTTGCTTGGGTGCCTGCTCGGTGTTCTTCTGTGGCTCTACTTTCGCATCCACAACGGCCTCTGACTTCTCAGGTTCTGTTTTCTGGGTTTCTTCCTGGGTCACTGCTTTCTCCTTCTCCCCTTCTTTTTCTTCCGTCTTATTGGCAGTGACCTGAGTATCCTTTTCTCCCTTCTCCTCCTTGTTGTTCTCCTTCACTTCTGTGGTCTCTGTGGTTTTCTGGGCATCCTCAGCCTCCTTTGGAGTCTCCTCTTCCTCAGTTGCTGCTCCTTCAGCCTTCTTGTCTTTGTCTTTAGCTTTTTCATCATTGACACTGTATCCCTTCTTCTTCTTGCTCAGTTTGCCTCCCATGTTGGAGCTCTGTAACAGAAAAGAGAAAGGGATTGATTACACAAAGCCCAGTATTCACCACTGAGTGCAAAGGAAAAAATTGATTCTGGTTCCTGAAAAGAAGACCACATAAGGTTGGGTAAGATGTTGCCAGCTGAATGTATTGATGCTGCAGAGCACCACTGCCACTGAGCTTACGTCCTGCTCAGCCCTGCAGAATTTCAGTCAGCAAATGCCCTTCTGCCACACCCCCTACAAACAGTCCTGCAAACACCTCTAACCCTGGTTACAGTTCAGCGGGGAGGAAGGGGTCAGAATAACAAGAAGTAGCAGGACAATGGAGGACTAACATACAACCACAATCCTCTGTGGCCTGAGAAAGAGTGGAAGTAGAAAAAATACATATTTATATTCAGGCTGGGAATGAACTAAATTTAGCTGTTATTCATGGCATCCACCCCTGGTTAACACAAAGTCCACCATCACTTTAGCAAAGGCTCTGAACCACCTTTTCATTCAAGTTGGAGAAATCAAAGGAAGCCTAGAGTCAGTGAGAAGGCTAATGCAGGAGACTGCATCTACTCCCTACACCTCACAGCCTGTCCCTCATGGCCCGTTTCCCTTGGATATTGGCCTTTGTAGAGAGCTGATGGTACCAGGGGCCAGGAGCATGTGCTTCCCTCACCCAAAGGGATGTGGGCACCCACATCCAGCTGCCCCAGAAGCAGGAACAGCTCCTACGCACAGAGTCCCACCCAGCCCTGCAGCTTCTACAGGGATTGCCTGCCCAAAGCCCTGCATTCCCAAACTCAGCAGCATGGGAGACACAGAGCCTGAAGCACAGCAAGATCACTCCATAAGACAAAAGAAACAAATACAGGGACTTCTGACCACAAGTTTGTACATGGCACATGACATGATGCAATAAAAAATGGGAGAAGAGAGGGGCATACTTGTAGCCTCTACTCCCAGTTTTCAAGCATGACAAGCAATAACTGCTCAGTTATTTAAAAGAAGTTGACCATGTGTATAGCCATAACAGTATTTATATAGACTTTATGTGGGAGTCTTAACTAAGAATACACAAAATCTTTCACTGTACTTCAAAGCAAACTTTGTCTATGAAAACAGAAGGAGACACAGATATTATTATTATTAGGTCATCATTGAAAACAAAAACCTCTGTGAATAGAGAAAAAATTACACTTCTAGTATTAAAGGAAATAATTCATGATTAATGGAAGTTAAAGAAAAATATTTCTGTGTTTTCTACTATTTGAAAATAGGAGATGGTGACTTTTTTCAAAGAACTGTCAAACAAACGTTTAATGTAAGAACTTCTCCAAGGGAGATGAATCATTCTAATTTTCCATTTTGCACAGGTAGATATAATTATAGGCTGTATTTTTTTCACACACTTGCTAAAACTGTGAATACAAATCATTAAAAATCCATATGATTGCTCATAGCAGGCTGAATATAAAGAAATATCACGTACGACTAAGAAGTAGATGCCTCTCAGTAGATTATCTGCTACCACAGATGCAAGCCCCAGGCAGAACCCAACAGCCAAATATCCACACATCTTGGGCAAAACTGAGATATTATGGTCAGCAGAGATCTTTCTGACTTCAGCTTTCAAAAAGGGTAACAATTTGCAAATACTGTTGAAAGGTTATCACACAGCCCTGCAAAATGGTAATGTTATGTTACTGAAACACTGCTTTATTGCCTGAAATTTTATGGGAACAGCAATAAAAGGATTAACTTTCACAGATGAGCAATCTAATCTCTACCTTCGTGACAGAGTTATCGGCTTTTTAGGTATTTAGGGCAGGCTGTGGACATTAGTTCATTATCTGACAAACATATAGCCTTCTAGATTACTCCATAAATATTGCCCTGATTATTGTTTATGTGCAGTTACAGCCAAATACTTTGGTAGGGCTTCTGCAAGTCAGTCAGACTGGAGATTTATATTGAAACCAAGCGTGTATCCCAATTTGTAATCCCTAATTAAGGCTTTATTTGTTTTTCAGCAAAGCCCAGGTACAGTGAGCCTAATTTTATTTGTTGTGTCTTCTGTATTTTTCGAGATTTTGCTATTTCATGGATTGTAGTAACACACCACAGTTTATATTTCTTTCCACAACAATCTTTTGACCTCGGATATAGTTGGATACAGAATGTCTATGCCAAAGAACCTTTAAAAGTAGAGAAGCATACATACAAGAAATGTGCTCCCAAACTTAGAAAAGAAACATGCACTGTCATTGCTTGGAGGTACACTGTGAAATCTCTGTGTCTCAATTGGCATCAGAGCCAGCTATCCCAAGGTATTTGAGCAGGAGATGGGGAAGAGGCTCAGAGACTACCATTATGGTGTATTAGCAAATATTTACACTTACAAATGGACTGTCATCTTCCAGCAGAGTTTCAACTACTTTAACAGAATAAATTCACTCTTTGGGATGCTGAATCTCATATCTCCCTGTTAAAAAGCTGCCTAGATCATTGTGATAGCAGCTGTGCCAGGCTATGATGCAAAAGCAGAGCAATCATTGGGGTCATCACCCAGGTAGCAATGCTACAAAGTCCCTTTTTCCCCAGATCTGATTTACAAACATTCCTCCTGTCCCCAGACTTCTGATAACACATCTGGGCTTCCCTGTAACCTTTTTTTAGAAACAGCCCCACATGCTCCACATCTTCAAACAGATTCTGGTCTTGTCCCTGCCCCAGCCTGAAGCACAGCTCCGAACCATCCAGTGCAGACTCTAAAGGTTTGGCAGACACAACCCAAGCCTTAAAAAGTATTTTAAAATTACAACTATCTGTACCTGCAGGAAGACCAGCATGTGAACCACAACACCTAAACATCTCCGTGACTGTGCTGGATATTGCTGCAGGGATAATCCTACCTGGTACTAAATGAAAGTGGATGTCAGTGAAATGTTTCCCAAGTGAAGCAAAGTGCAAAATTCATTGAGATGCGAATTCATACAGTGTTAAATCCACTCTGTGTTATTACCTACATGCTAACACTTAAAAAGAGTTCAGACATCTTTCCCACCCCCCACCAAGGGACTAAATTATGGAAAAAAATAAAGGGGATGCACCCTCTGTCCCAGTGAGACTGGGGCCCTGGCGTCACTGCTCAGTCTCTTCCTTTACCCCTGCCCCTCCCTAATCCCCTAATCACTACATTCACCATGTGAATGAGGGACCCAGGACCAAAGTTTGCCTACAACTATTGACCACTATTTAGAGTGGTCAATAGTTATAGGAAAACTTTCAGTTAGAGGCTGAACCCCAGTAGGTCTTCAGTTATTTGCACTTCCACTGACAGGTACAGGTTTTGAGCTAGCTTGAGCAGCTGCCAGATGAACATAATGCTCTCTGCAGCAATCATGTCCCAAATGAAGATCCTTGAGAATTTTGGTGCTGAGCACCATTGCTATAAAATGGCACAGCATTTGATGGCTGTGTCTTCTTACTGATGGAAAGAAAAGGGTCTAGAGAGAGAGAGCCCAGAAGCTGATTTTATATAAGAAGTTGCAATTTAGCAGTAATTTTCAGGGAACTCTGCTGAACAACTCTGCAGAGCAGCACTTCAGAATAATGAGGGAAAATACAACACCTGGAAGCTACAATAGACTTTGTCTGCTTCCCAGGCTGGTCAATATACTTTGTATTGCTCTTCTTATGGAAAGAGAAACCAATCCAGAGATCACTGTGTCTTACTGTAGAAGAGCTACTTCTCGCAACAGGAGCAAGGATTTCTTCAGTTTCTAGTAGGTGGTATACATTTTGCACATCCTGAAGTTTCCATTCTCCTGCAGGAAGCAGGAACAGAACCAGAGAACTTGCATAGTTGTATTTCTTATTGTATAGTAGAAATAATCTCTGGGGTGAATTATTTAGATTAAAACATTTCGGCTGTACAGGTCACCTGGAGAATGTTAAGCACTTTGAAATTTCCATATTTGTAATAATTAGGACTCAAAGATTCAATGTCCATAAGACTACAATGCAAGAGGAGGAAGAACTCATGGAACATTTCAAATTCTCCATCTGAAGACTCATAGACATGAGTTCCTGGAACATGGGCAGCACACATTTGTACAGTTTGTAAAAAGAACTATTATTTGGAAGTTTTATAGTTCAAATTTTTCTTATATATTGAAAAAGTCTCTAGAGTCAGACTCTTACTATCTCTTTAGTCAGTAAAGGTTTGTCTGCCCAATTAATTTTATGTGCTTATAAACTCCTAAACATTTCTTTCAGCAGAGGCTTTCACACACCATTAAAGAGTCTGACTATTACAAGACCACGTTTGCTGACACCATCCCTCACAGCACTGCGAGCAGGGCAACAGGAAAGGCCAAACTCACAGAGTGCACCTGATGTTACCTCAGTCTGATTGCCAAAGCTAAACTTCCAAAGCTCCTGTCTGACTACGTGCAAAGCGTCGGGAGTTCAGCCCATTGCCAGAAAAACCAGTTCAGGAAGACAATAGGTGCCTTCTGAAATTCCACTGCCTCCAGCGCAGGGCAGGCACGTGCGGTGGCTCAGGCCAAAGTAGCCCCTGCACAAGCCTGTTCCCAGGCATGAGTTATCCCACACTGCCTGCAGACAAAAATGCATATCCCTCGCAAGGCAGAGTTTCAACACTCCAAATCAAATGAAATACTGATCCCAGAAACTGCCCCAGTCCCCAGGTGCTGAAAAGAAATGGAAAGATCTTGAAGAAGCCATTACATCTCTGTAGCCCATTGATTCACCCTACACCTTCATTAAAAAAAAAAAGGGCAAAAAGTTTCAATTAAGGAATACATATGGGAACTGAAAGAAACAAGGGGCATGCAAATGCTGTTTTTAAAAGATTTTCTGAAATTTTTATGAAAGAAAAAACAACTAAAACTTACTGCTTCTCAAAATACACAATAGAATTTCATGCTCCCCATTACACTTACACACACTCAAGATATGTGTGTATCCTTGCCAGGTCAATCAGTTTGCCAGGTTAA